TTATAAATGGCGCGCGGCAATGACGTTATTTAAAGCGCGCGACTTGTCTTACATGGGGGTGTTAGACAGGTTTTTCTAGCATCGGTGTAAACGGTAGATAATCCTGTCTGATATGCAAGAAACGATTTTAATAATACTGCACGTTTGTAACGTCGCTTTTCATTGGATAATTATAATAGTTATATAGCCTTATATACAAGGATGCTGTCAGTTTATGAAGAAATCGTTTTTTTTTCAATAAAAAATATGCTTGGTGTATACATTTGTCATGAAGATTTTTACGGGTTATATGGCCATATATTAACGGTTGCAACAAAACCTTAGCTTAATCGTTCGGCAACAAACGGCCATATAACCTGTCGAATCAAAACACAGAAGGCGCTGAATTTGATTGGGTCAAATCAAATTGATTGATTGATTGATTGATTGCAATCAAATTGATCGCCGTCTGAGTTGCAAACACTTTTTGTCAATTCTTCTTTAAAAAAAGGCAATAACAATTTTCAAAAGTTCAAAAATATGGTTGTTTTGTGCATTTATCATACATACCATGTAATTTTGGCGTATTTAGGGATCGTTTTGCACACATGTTTTTACCAAAATTAGGAAAAAGTGGCGCCCCTTGTCAAACTGTACAGACGTGATTGCACAAATGGCAATGAGTGTGTATTAAGTTGGAAAAGTACATATCTGAGCTCCAGTCCCAGTAAAACATAAAAGCATAAAACAAAATTCAGTCATAAACCTGCCGACAAAAGCAAACGGTCATATTTTATCCACTGCTTCTGCGACGAAATTTCCAACGCGGCTTCGATGGACCCACCGCTTCTGCAAAAGCTATAGCCAGTGTGATTTTACAACTGTATAAATCATTTTACTATTCTTCGTAATAGTCTTATCGTGATTTTTTTTTACAATTTAACAGTCCCGTTCCAAATTGGTTATGCTTTATATATTTATTTTTTCAAATAATGACAATTTTGTTCTAAGTTGAATTATTCTTTTATTTTCTCGTATGTATGATACATTATTATGCATCACAAGTATATTATTATAAAACATGTAATAGTTTATTACATGTGCGATTTTCCAGCAATCAAGTTACAGAAGGAAGGAACGGAAGTTTGCTTTGTTACAAGAGCTCATTTATAATCATACAGTCTATTTTAATTCAGTACAAGAAAAGCATTGATGCAAAGCATCAAAGGGCGTCCAAGGAAGAAATGCAGCAAGTGAAGATGAACTAGTAGACATCTGATGACTAGATATTCTTATAAACTTTTCAATGGTTAATTGGTTTTACCTAGTATTGTATATCATTTATGAATGGGCGGAAAAAATAACAAGAATAAAGATCAACAAGGCATAGACAACGTTCACAGGACGCCGAAAGACATTGTTCATCATGAACTTTGGTAGGCATGCTAGAGATTTGAATATTAAATGTTTTTTCCACAGGAACTTTAATTCTTTCAATGTTAACGATAATATCCAAACTATACAGGTCTATAATATCCAAAATATACCCCCTTTTTGGTATAAGTTTATTTATACTATATAGGGGTTTTGGATATTATCATTAATATTGGCTATTTGATAGAATTTCAAGCATATGTGTTATTTTCTTTTGAACATACAACTTAATAGTCAAAGTGAACAAAGTCTGTTAATTGATTTATTTGGGAGGTCTATCCACTATTTTAATGACCTAGTCTGAACCATTAGTGTGTTTAAATGCCTATCAATAAACCCATAACAACTCATGTTAAAATTGCAGACGAATAATGATAATACTATGAAAAAACAATTCGTATAAATTGCCTACTTAAAGATTGCAATTAATTGTTTTAATATGTTTGCATTTCATTTCCTGCCAAATTGTCCAGTTCGTTTCGACACGAATGACTGTTTCGGTAAACTAAAACTACTTCTATAAATAGATTTTTGGACTTTCACAATGTTCAGGTCTATTTATAGGTAAAGCAATAACACACATAATTTAACCCACTGTGTATTACAAAATGATTAATAAAAATACCGAAGAGCGAAATTAATTGACGGATAAGATAATTTCATTTGAATATGTTTACATTAGTTCACTATTCATTTTACATATCGCAACATTTCATACACTCATACCAATCGGAATGTTCGGCTATTACGGCCGACGAAAAGGCTCGAGAAGTTGCAATTGCCCTTTCACAAAATCTGATTTCATTCCATAAGAGCGTCGCGCTTCGGCGCGGACCTTGTACAGATATGCATATATATATATCTACAGGCAGTGGATCAACCGCAATTAACAACATGTGGAACACGTATTGGCCTACTTCGTAAATGAGTAAAGACGATTTCTATATGCATTTCAATAATTTATATGGAACGCAACCTATGTCGGATTATAACTTAAATGAACAACAAGAACAAATTGTCTAAAATGATTATTTAAATGCGTTATTTGCTATATCTGAACTAAAATATACTGTTTACAGTCAAAATAATTCAAAAAGTCCGGGTGCAGATCACCTTATAGCCGAAGTGTTTCAGCATTGTATTATATGATTTCCCCTTTCTTACTTCAACTACTTAACAAATTATTCACCGAAGGTATCTTTCCAGAAACTTTGCAACAAGGTATAATATTTCCGATTTTCAAAGGCAGATCAGCTGAAGTAAACAATTTTTAAGGAATCACATTGAATAATATTTTATCTAAAATTTATTCTAAGATGCTCATAGCTAGACTTACTAAATGGACAGACGAAAATTCAGTATTAATAGATAACCAATATGGTTTTGTTTTCAATATCAATACATGATTGTGTATTCATTCTTCATGGTATTTTATTGAAAAAAAGTATCAATGAAAAAGGAACTGTTTGTAGCATTCTTAGACTGGGAAAACATGGTTGATCGGATGAATCGGGTAATGCTGTGGCACAAATTAATTACTGCGAATGTTAGCGCTAAACTTATTACAGCTTTAAAATCCATGTACGTACTTAGTTGAAAAATATGTAATCTGATATAATTCTACGAATTCAGATCCTATAACATCTTTTATTTGGGAGGAGACCCAGATTGTAGTATACTCTGTTTTTTCCTAAATTTTATTGTAGAAAATATTAATAATAACTTAAATGGTATTTTAAGTATTGATGACGTAAAATTATTTTTATTATTATTCGCTGAAGACGGTGCATTATTTGCTTATGACCCTCAATCTCTACAATCAATGTTAAATGATGTACAGACTTACTGTGTAATACACTGAGACTTCGATAAAACGTCAGTAAAACAAATAATAATGATATTTGAAAATAGTTGTCATACATAATATGACTTTTATATATTTAACTCGCGTATTGACATCGTTCAGTCATTTAGATATCTTGGTATTCATTTTTTTAAAAACAAGAGCTGAAATCGCACGCAACAGAGAATCGCTCGACATCACAGTTTTCTCTTTTTTTACAACAAATTAGAATTACCTGTATCCCAAAAGATATACCTTTTTGACTCTCTTGTAATATCTACTCTTAATTATTGTGCAGATATTGAGATTGTACATACGAAATTTTGTAGGAGAGTTCTTTGCGTAAAACAAACCTAGTTGCACTATACGGCGAATTAGGGAAAACACCAATGAATGTGTATCGAAAAAAATATTGATAAAATACTGGGTTAAATTAATTACTTTAGATAATCAAACACTACTATTTAAAACTTATAATATGATAATCAGAGATGCTGAATGAGGAAATACATATAATGTTAATAACTGGGCTAGTCAGATAAAAGAAATACTTTATAATCACGGTTAAATGTATTTATAGCAAAACCAATTTAACATTCAAATTAATGTAAATATGATTAAGCAACGGATATTAGACGATGGTGCTCATCAAGAAAAAAGTCTCCTCGTCTCAAAACGTATTGTTTATTTAAACATGAATGTCAAGTAGAAAGTTGTTTCGACTTTATACAGGAAGCAACATTCAGAATATCTTTAACGAAATTTCGTACATCTTCACATGATTCGGAAATAGAACGCGGACGCACATAAATTTTCCTAGAACGGAGAGAATTTGTTTAAATTGTAATTCTAATATGATCGAAAATGAATATCTTTATTTTACTTATATGTCCAAAATGTAGAGCACTGCGTAGAAAAATATTTAAAACGTTATTATAATACCTGGCCTACCTTATAAAAATTCAAAAACTTGTTAAGTAAAACTAACCTGAAAATTATTCAGAATCTATGTAAATTTAAATATTATGCTAATCTACTGAGAAACTTACAAACATTCTTCAATATTTATAAGCTCGTCAGAAAAACCTTTGACAATAACTTATGTATAAACATATGTAAAAAATATGTAAAAAATGTATTTCCATTGTATTTCATGTATTGTTTGCTATAAATATGTTACAATTTTTATGCAATAAATATATTGAATTGAAATAAATAACTAAATAGAACACAATAGCGCCATATCTTTAACATGTACCTGCTAGAAATCTTATTTTCGCAAATATTTCCGCACGCAGAATGTCCATTTTTTCCTTCCCAAAGTTTTTATGACGCAGAAATATCCATTTTTGTAACTTAATTTGTATATTACTATAATATGAACAACGTGTCTTGTTACGCTTTTAGTACATGTATTAAGAGATCTTTAATATTACGAGACCCTTTCCAGGCTGAAATAAGTTTGAAACTATCACAAACTACACGGACAGTTTTTTGGTAATTTCAGTGAATCTAAGTACGTATAAAAACTTATAGGTTCGTATCTGGAAATGATGAATTACATAACACAGATTATACATATTGGACCGAACAATATGTTTTTTGCGGGAAAAGTGTCCAGAAATTTTCTGTTAAAGAGGTACATTGACAATTTTTAAATGATGGATTAATTGCTTATTTAATTTTTTTGACATGGAGGATAATGATCTTTTTTCATAAGTTGGTGTTTTAAAATGATACATACTGTATACAATGAGCTGCATGTATTTTCTCTGAGAGTTGAGGATACATGTCCAATATTTCTGGTCTTCTGATCTATTGAGATTGGTGACTGTAATAGTGACACCACTGCTATCAGTGCTGACTGTATGTCTTGGTACAGTTCCCAAACACTGTGACGGTGTACATGTTGTTAATGTTGGAGTAGTAGTAATGTCTTCAGGAGGAAAGGAATCAGTCTTATAGACCCTGATCAATTCATTACTGGCAAACTGCGACACTTCACATACAACCTGTATATTGCCTCTTTTCACAGGGACCTTGTTGTCTTTGATATAAATTTGCTGTACAGTTCCTAAAAAATTAACGAAAATAAACTATGATTAAAAAACAAATGTTTTTTTCTGCCTACATATTAAACTAGAGCTATCAATGAAGCTGATTAATAACCCCACCAGGAACTTTGACTTTTTGAAAGATAAGTGTTCTGAAGAAAATTTTAAACTCAATCTACAGTAAATATAATATCAACTGTGTACAAAGAATTATGTAAAATAAATGCAATCCAAACGAGGATCTTCAAACCGAACTGATTATAATATGTCATTCATAAATCTATCATTTCCCGCTAATCAGTTTTCTATTTTTAGTAATGGTGACCCTGACCCTAGGGTGTCCAAATGCAATACGAACCGCTGTCTTCAAATAAGCTTACTATACACCAAGTTTGATTACAATATATCATTCCTGACTCTATTTATTGTCCAGAAACCATATTTCTATTTTTAGTAACGGTGACCCTGACCTTGACCCCAGGGGTTTAAAATGCAATAAAACTGGGGTCTTCACATAAGCTTGCTATACACCATGTTTGACTACAATATCTCATTTTAACGTAAGTTATTGTCCGGAAAACATTTTTCTATTTTTAGGAACGGTAACCTCGAATCCATGGTGTCAAAATGCAATACCAACCAGGTTGTTCACATACAGGGTTCAAACAATTTTCTGATTTTACATTTCCAGACTTTCCCCGACCTTTTCAAGGATTTCTTTCTAAATATCAAGATTTGACACTTGAAGAAATGAAAACCTTTTCACGGGTTTTCTCTTACCCTACTTTCCAAATTTTACAGTGAAGTATTGTAAACTTTTCCTTAACATAATAGAAACTATTTCATTTCTTGCCTTGGCCAGTTTGGAATTATAGATAAATTATGTGGTACATACTTTACAAGCAATCCATTAGTCCCCTACAAAACATTTAAAAGGGCCATTGGTCATAGAATTATGTCATTGAATGAATGAATGAATGAATGAATGAATGAATGAATGAATGAATGAATGAATGAATAAACTTAAATCTTTAGAGTTCTTACTTTGTCTGTATCAAAGTAATGTGTTAAGTTTCCCTAATTATGTTCATAGAACAGGTAATCAAAAGATCCAATTTTCTCAGGATGAATATGTATAACTGATGTTTCAACATTTCTGTATTTTTAATGTGTTGGAAAAGAACCAATGTCTTTAAAAGTGATCTCAGGAAACAAATTTTAGAAATGGACAGACAGACCAATTGACAGAGACTCTGAGGGTAATCTTTTAACATCACTGGTTGTTACCAGAATATAACATTTTTAAAAGCAAAATTCGTAAACTAAGCGGGAGTTACTCTTGAAACAAAGATGCTAGACTTATTGACTTTGTCATGCATGATGTGATTGTAACAAAGAACAATTATCTAAAGGTTAGCTAAAATTAAAGAAGATATCATTAAATTATATAGTCACATTGAAGAAAGTTTAAAAAAAAGCAATATTCAAATATACCATTTATAGTAACAAAGAAGAAAATTTTAAAAGAAATCAAGTAAATGTCAAGTTGAATTGAAAATAATCATTGAAACCCATATCTTATAAATCTTATCATATATGAAGTAGGTCTTGATAATGAATGTCTTATTTAAATTTGAAGTAAATCCATGGAGAAATAAAAAAGTTAAAAAAATGATTAAGAAAAATTCAAAGTCTAAGGGGGAGATAATTCTGAAAATATTGACGCTAGATAACCCTTGTCATATTTTATGATGTGGAACCTTCTCCTATGACTTGCGTAATACTAGTAGTAAGAAGTTGATCATCAGAAACATATATTTGAAGTTTGAAGTAAATACCCTGAGAAATAAAGAACCAATAGTAAAAAAGCCTAAAACTAATAAGAAATTCTGACGAGGTTACCGACGCTCGGTGAGTAGAACAGCTCTAAATATACTCCCTGTAGTCAAGATCAAAAATATGTGTTTAGTCTCCAAACTGCCATCAATCCGTATTTTAAGTTTCATAAAAATGTTTTCACTACTTTTTGAGTAATGACAGATATTGTTATTTTTGCTATATTGGAAGCATATTTGTTGCCATAGCAAGCAAATTGTTCAACCTAGAAAGAAAATAAAAAAAACGTGCATGATCTCCAGACTGCCATCTACTCATATGTCAAGTATCATAAAAACATTATCAGTCCTTTTTGCATTATCACTGGGTTAAATTGACCATATCTTCAGTCTATTTGTTGCCATATCAATTAAAGTTTTCAATATACCCGGTAGGAAGAAAGGGAAAAAAACGTGCATAATATCCAGACTGCAATCTATCAATTATCAAGTTTCATAAAAATATTTTCAGTACTTTTTGCATTATCGGGGGATCCAACTTTGTGGACAGACTGACGCTATTGTTCTGTCTATTGTTCTTTTTAGCCAGACAAAAGAAAATAGCCACATGAAAGCATAAAGGAATGACTGATATCAAAGAGAAAGAACAGTTACCTACTATCCCTCTAGCCACGTTATTACTCCGTGAGAGCGGACAGACGGGCGGACGGACAGACAGACGAACGGACGTAGTGTAATTCTAACGTCCCCTCCGATTAAACCGGTAGGGGACTAATAATATGTAAATTGTATTCTGGTAAAAGGCAACACTACTCAATAGTTGGGTGTGATTGTGGTTTCAAGAGGATAGCATATTGTCTGTTCTGAACAGTTTATAACAAATATAGACTTTTGTTAATTTGACCTTCATGTTTCAAAATGACTTAAATTCTGATATAATGTTCCAGTTGCAAGATGAGTCAAAATATTTCAATAAAATCAAACTTGAGAAATATTTCCTAGGAACAGTATAATGATTCAAGTTTCAAGTAACATTTTACATGTTATGGTCCGTTAATGACTTATTTTTCAGTAGTTTTGTTTTTGGTTTTACGTCACATCAACACAGTATAGGTCATATCGCGACGTTCCAGCTTTACTGGTGGAGGAAGACCTCAGGTGCTCTTTCGTGCATTATTTCAGGCACGAACGGGCACCTGAGTAGAACCACCGATGTTCTGCAAGCTAGCTGGATAGCTTCCTCACATGAAAGAATCCAAAGTCCCTGTCGGGATTCGAACCCACAGCGCTTAGGGGCAAGTGATTTGAAGTCAACGACCTTAACCACTCGGCCACGGACGCCCCTTTTTTCAGTATTTACAATTATATTTCTACTGCATTACTTATGTTGATACATAATTCTGTACAATAATATGTCATGTACAAACTTCATAAGGTTATATGCATTGTCCATTTTCTTTATTTACAACCTTCACCGTAGTATTCACATTCTTTATTATATTTTGTCAGCTTTCAGTTATATTATGTGCAATTTTTCTTTCATGGTGACCTTAATGTCTATTGTTATGTCACTCACTTACTTCTACTTTCATGCCAAGTTAAATGATTAGAGTACAGATCTTTTGCACCGTTAAACACCGAATGAAAATTATACAAAAATAATATTAAATGGAGATAAATGGCGAATTAAGTATATCTCTAATTATCAAAATATTCCAATTGAACTGAACTCGCCATAATAAATACAAGTGCGAAATAAAAAGAATTACTTTCGGAATAAAAAAGAATTTCCAGATTTTCTTTCCCGGGGTTGATCTAAACGTACAATTTAACAACACCTTTTTAGAAATTATCATTTGTTCAGAGAGAGGGGGACTATTCCCGCACGTTGAAATCCGCGAAATCAGCATTTTATTCTCAACTATGGGAAAAACTAGAACCAACAATGCATAGAACATGTAGAAGTTTTAAGCAAAACTGTATATACATAAAATTCCGCTACTAAAATAGTAGTATTACTTTCAACGGGACATGTTTTCCATTATCCATTAATTCAAAATTGGCATACAATGTTGTTTGAATTGGCAATGGTTAACATGTATAAGATCAAATAAGTTTTTTTTTATTATTTTAAACAATTTTAAACAAATTTAGCCGTTAAACTAACTCTGACAGTTCATGTATAGCGTTTGGTCTCATGAAGATTTTAATTTTCATTTCACTAACTAATAAGCTAACAACAGCAGCTCAATCAATAAATACAGCATATATGTAATATAAAGTGATGACAATGAAATAAAAACATCAATTATGGTAAAAATGTAATAAGAAAATCAATTTATCAACATGCTTTTTATATGCAATAATGTGATAAATTGTTGTCATATAAACCTAATGCCGATTTTAACAAAATGTTAGTTTAACTTTTTAAACGCTGAGCATGATATCATAATTATAAAACCAAGAACAGAAAATATACAAATTTTTTACAACCAAAGTTTATGTCAAAAGTTATGGCAATATGAAATACTCCAACTGTACTAACTTTTGAAATGATGTTCAGGTTTATGCAGACATTCTACAGATAATTGTTTGTTTTGCCTGTATGTTTCAAAAGTGCCAATTCAATGTTCTAAAATATCTTTGTTCCAAGAAGCTGTAAATCTTTATCAAGCAATCATTCAATGCTAATCGTATAAATTTTAATTCTTAATTAACGTTCATTTTACTGACAGTCGTGAAGTTGGCGAAATAATGGCCCAGCGATATGGCGGCGTATAATTGACGGTCTGGCAAACTAGCGGCCTGGTGGCGTGAAGTTGGTGGCCGGCGGCCTATCGGTTGGCAGTTGGCGGTCTGGAGGCCTAGCGGCGTGGTGTTGGCGGCCTAGCGACCTTAACTTTAAAAATAATACAAGTTTTGTAAAGAAATTAAAACGACTCTTAATTAATATTTAAAAACATATCTTACCATTTAAATTTACATAACAGAAAAATAACACACATTAAGTCAGTCTTTGTCGTATGCAAATGCGCCGCGCTTTGAATATGGGAACCAACATATTACCGAATAGCTTCGTCTATAGCGGACTGGTTCAAATCTTCAAAGCCAAAGCATTTGCGTAATGCAAAGCTGGGGAGCCAGTTTAAATTTGTAGAAAGGTTTTTGTAAATTGAGTAT